TAAGCACGGGTACATAGACCCAATAGTCCTTAATAAGAAATAAATGTAAGAAAGGTTGCGGTAATGCGAATGTGTATTAAATTACACTTCAAAGATACTGCGCTGAAATCAGATATTAAGAAATGCATCACGTCACTCAAGGCACTCGTGATGGTTAATAATATAAAATCGATAGGCGTGACACGCGACTTAACAAATCCAACATAAGCCAATGGATCTACTTCGTGGAGCAATTTGAGAAAATTTTTAAGAATCTCAAGATCGAGGCCACCTTTTACATGAACACCCTTGTTTTACGCCACCAGTAAATCAAAAATATGAAATTACTAAGGAATACCATGAATCAACAATCGAGGGACATAGAGAAATAAACAAGAGTTACAATAAGATAGCGAAGGACTATTATTGGAGAAACATGAAGACCGACGTAAGGCAATTTATACTTGCATGCAGGTCATGTCAGACAAAGAAATTAGTACGTGTAAAAACAAAGCAAGCTATACTTGTTACAAACATACCCAGCAGAGCGTTTGAAAAATCTCGATTAAGTATTACGGACCCATAAACTATTGTGTTTCCATGTAAACAAAAAAATATTTAAAAACAAAAAAAAAACAACAACAAATAAAAAAAAATGTAACTATCGTACAAATAAAAAAATTAAACATCAACATATTTACAAATACACTTGCGAGTTAATGTGGGCCCCTTCAGATCTGTGTAATTAGTAGATTTCAAAGGATGTGAGATATGTAAATTTTTCAGACAAAAAAATTATTTTTAAATTATTTTAATTTAATTACGAAGAAATACAGTTGCAATTTGGAGTTAATATTTATCAGGCACTCAGCTTAAGTTACTAAATTACATTATCCATAAAGATCCTAATACTCTTCACCTATCAGCAAAATCAGAAGCAAAAAGAAATGAACCATCATGTATCTGAAAAAATCGTCTGTCTTGCGATCACAGAGAAAGAGTTATGATTGATCATGATATGAAACTGAACAGTGACTGAGGAATAACAAGTATTGAGATTTCTGGGAAAACAAATTTGTTTACACAATGAGACTTAAATAAAACGGAATAAAGAAAAATACTTATACATATAATTTTATATACGCACATGCACACGTATTTGTATGAATAAACTTTACTCAACAGAATAATATGAGTCATCAGTCTCATGAACGAAGTCGGAACAACCTAAGCAGATACATCTGTGGTATGGTTCATAAGAATCCACAGCAGTCATTAGACGTAAGTTACCAGAATAATTTATCAATCCTGCTACTGAAACTCAAAATGGTATTATCAGTGAATGTCAGCACTACCATGGCAGAAGATATACACACCAGTGTGAAAAAAAGCTAAAAATACCAACAAAGTGCCTATAAACTTCCCTTCCAAATATACGCACAGTCTTGAATCAGAAAAAGGAACAAATATTGACAATAGCTTTAAAAGCATTAATAATTAACATCAGGTGAAGGAAAAACCATATTAAATATGACTGAGTCATGTATGCAGTTAACACATCCTTTATAGTCCACTGAAGTAAGTAATATAAATAATGACACTACAATAGTCTATAACAAAAAAAACTAGTACAAGTATTGTGTAAATGAGTTGCGCTATGCACCTTCTCTTTCTTCCCTACATCGTTTCTTATCGAGGTATCTTTTCAAAGTGAGAGGGAGGGGTTATAATACCAACCAACCAACTTTGTCAAAAATATTCGCAGGTATACAAAGCTCTTAAGCATAAATAACGTTTTGTGAAAAAAAAAAAAAAAAAAAAAAAAAAAAAAGTGTCCTTTTCGACAAAATTATGTATAAATATACAGAAAAATAAATAAACAAATAAATAAGGGACAAGTAAAAAGATAAGTAAGTAATAATTGCTGGTTTGCTGAATGTTTGTTAGGTAATGCGATAAGTAAATTAATGCTTGAAAAAGAATGCGTACGTAGTAATAATAATAATGAAAATAATAATAATAATAATNATTTTTAAAATTGTATGTAAAAACGTTAAGAATATTTATTTTATAGATGGTCTTGAAAGATCAGGAAAAACCTTTTTATACAAAACATAAATTTATTACTTCATATCACAAAGAAAAAAAAATTTTTCAATGGCATGGACTGCCAATGCGTCAGTACTACAAACAAAAGATATAACCAATCATAGAACTTTCCGCTTACCTTTGGATTCAAATAATATTGAGCCTGCATTTTTCGAAATCGAATCTGAAAAAAAAATTACGTAAAATCGAATTGATAATTTGGAATAAGGATTCTATGATTCCAAAAAAATCTTTAGAAAAAGTAGACAGAACTTTGCGTGATGTATGCAATACACACAGTCATTTTGGAAGTAAATTAATAATTTTGCAAAATCTTTAAAGATAATAAGTATATAATACAACAAGAACAACATGATACAAACACTACTTAAACAATTATACTCGATGTGTTACAGAAAAAATCGCCGTCAAGAACAACGACCTAGCGGCCTCGAACGTGTCACGAATAATATGGCACATGGGACGGACCACAGCTCATTAGTAGAAGAAAGGAGGATAAGAAGATAGAGAAAGAGCATAAAAAGGCCCACAGTAGTGGCTATGGAGCTCTAAAACGCGAGGACTAGAAGGAGAGTGGTAATAAGTAAATCAAGACCTCCAAGCACCTCCCCTCATAGGAATATAAAAATAAAGTGATGAATCGGATTTAATTATATTATTGTTATGAAGCACCCCAAGCCATCAGAATCCTACGTAATGATACGTTGCATTACCTCTATGTGAAAATTACGATCATATTTATATCCAAAATAAGTCAGTACGTTCGAAAAAAGATAATTATAAATAAATATATTTATGCAATTTTAGAGCTTCGTTGGCTTAGCGGTTAGCGTGCTAGCCTCCTAACCAGAGATACTCGAAGAGTCGCGGGTTCGAACGCCGTCGAAAATTATCGAGATTTTTTCTCGGGCTTTTTTGATACGATGAATACACAGGATCCCGAAAAACCTTTTATCTGAATTTTAAAACGAATAGTCGATTTTTCTAATGATGTTTAGACTTCCAGGGGCTTTCTTTTTAAAGGAAAGCCAATACCTGGCTAGCTCATCGGGTAAAGTCATTGTTGGTCATGAAAAGATCGGTACAGCAAGTTAGATGGTTTATTAAAAAATATATATCCATTTAACTTGATAATAGCTGGGGCATGCTTGAGATAATCACTACACCCTGTAAATAGTACCCAGTAAGATGGATGGATGACCAAGTCATCGACCAAGTCGTCTAAGGGAAACTTTGCTAGGGGCCAGCATGAAAGACTCGCATACTTAGAGAAATAGGGGATGGTAAATACGGAAAAAGAACAAGAAAGGTAGAGATTAGGGACATTAGGATACGTAAAAACCCTGAAAATCCTAATATAATATGATATGTTCATACAATTTTTCCTTAATCCTTGAATATATAATTACCATTCTTACGCTGCATTGAAATATTACTCTTTTCAAATTCAAATGTACTCACATTTAATCTTTGAAATCTTTGTATCCTAACTTTCTGTCATTAGTTGCTTGGAAGTATACTTTTATACACTCTACCTGGGTACTTAATAATAAAGTTATTTAAAAAAAAATCAAACATTGTATATTAAAATAATACGTATTATTTACTGCATAGAATTTTTTTTAAGTCTCTTTAAAAAGGGAACAGAACGTCCTATAAAAATAAATAGAAGTGTTTAAAAAAGACACGGAATCTCCTGTAAAAATAAATGGAAGTGTTTAAAAAAGAAATGGAATATTTTATAAAACTAAACAAAAGTGTTTAAAAATTGTTTTTTTGTATGCAATAATTTGTTGTTACTAATGGACATTTGTAAAGGGATCCTAGTAGTCACAACAAATCTATTATATTATGAGACCTAAAACTCAGCTACAGTTTATAATATATAAGTTATAACGTTTCTCTACAAACTTAGAACTAAGTGTTATGAATTGTAATTTTTGTGCTGAAAAGTCTAGTTAGAAACCATGTAGACTTTAGTATACTATGGTACTAAAACCGTTATTTTTGTGAGGTTTCGTTGTAAGCTGGAGAAAATATGTTTAGGGAAGTAAGATTATGGAGAAGGTAAAAAATGAAAAATAAATTAATAAAAACAGCAAAATAAACTTTGTTTCTTGTTCTCTTATAAAAGATCTATAGGGTATGTGGAGGTTGAGTAGGGAGTGAAAAAAAGTTTACTGGGATATGGGGAAGAAAGGAAGAATAATTAAAGATGTATTTAATGTTTTGCTAATCAGAATAAAAATTACAGTATAAACGTGATATATGGGTGGATTTTTTAATATTTTAAAAAATGACTAGATATCATAGCAAAATTTAGATGTCCCCAAGGTAGCATAACGGTGGAGTTGCAGCTTCATCGATCAGTGATGTTAAAGAAAATCAATCGCTGTAAACACTTAGATGAATGCTAAGTAAGCCACACCGTTCGCCTGCGCTACTTGTTTTTTTGTTGGATTTGATGCTTCTTTTTCTAAGTTAATCCTAGAGGTTATAAGTAGACACTCGGTCAGGACTCAAAAAATATACTGATTTTTCGCCTACCCTAACTTGTTCTTTTTTCTATTCTATTTCCAAGTATCGAGTTCTGCAAAAGAGAGGATGTATGACACTGGAAGGTAATGGAAAAGTGTATATATGACATTTAATTGACCAACTAACAGCGTTTTGCGTCCATGTCAAAAGATTGGAATCATATCCCTGCACGTATTTCACACCGCCATCTCACGTGAATTCGTTTGAGTAGGTGTAATAAATAAATCCAAACCCTTATGTTCATAAAACAACGTGTTACAGTTACAATAGCTCCTGCTTTTCCTCCAACCTTATGCACGGAGCGAATACAGAATAAATTATAAACATCATAAAACAAAATCAATCGACTCATTTGTTATGAGATACTTATTTACTTTTTGAGCATTGGCTTGACTCTTCCGTGTTCTCGACATAATAGCTTCAACGCGCTTACGTCTTGCATTTCTTTCTTCCTCCTCCTTTTTTAGACGTTGTTCCATCTCGAGTCGTTGCCTGTAACAAAGTTAGACACAGGTATATTTTGATAGGACTATAGGAAACATTTATCCCCATACAAATTTCAATAAAGTTCGGTTTTTAAATAAAAAAAACTACTTTTAATCCCCTTATGTTCTCCATCTGGTTTATCATGAGCAACATCCTGGATAATCATTACAACTTAATGTTAAAATAAATCTTTTGAAAATTTTATCATTTCAAATACGACTAGAATCACATAAAGTGCAGAATGCATAGAGTGGAATCACTGAAGGGCGATCAAGTGCTTAGGATGGTATATATGTGTGGGTCCCTTAAGAGAATTTCGATTTTACACTAATACATTAACATGAAGTGGAATCAAGATTCATTTTCTTGGTTACTGCTTGATTTATAAAAGGTAAGATTGTCAGTGTCATTTTTTGAATTGAAATTCACTTTTAATAATAAACAATTTATTGAAAAAAAAGCTTTTTAATGTTTCTAACATAAGTGTGTGTCTTTTTAAATTTATAATCTTGTTAAGAAAAATACTTGGTCGTACTAATAAATACTTTTCAAATTAATATAGTAATTAATACTTCTGATAGTTAAGAACAATTGCAAAAGCTTGTTTTTTTTAAGATATTCTAATAACTGTACAAACCTTACTGACCTACTATACGTACTGTATAGGTTAAAACTATAAATCACTTAAAAAATATTAAGCTAAGGATTATTGTATTATTAAATTTTAGTTTATTTTTAACGTATTTTATAAAAAACTTTATTTTGACTTAAGCAAAGATTTATTTATAAGAAAGCAAAAAATTCCTTAGCTGTTGTAACCGAAAAAGTTGATTTAGGCACACCTACATTATACATATGATTAATGAAGTTAATTTTCAATGTTAGTAAAAATCATCTCTCATATACAAATAATTATACCAATTATTTCATTACATTTAACAGACTATGTTGATATTTTTTTTGGGGTCAGAAATATTAGCTGTTATACATAAATGATTTTCATTACTAGCTAATAGCTTACGTTCAACTATATAACTAATTTTAAGTCATTAATATTTTTTCAATTAGCTAAGTGTAAAAATGCATTGGCTTTTGATGTTTCTTAAACTTACAAATATGACAAAACAGAAGACAGAGGTAAAAATGAATACACTAATCATAATGGACGTTTGATTTTCTTACATGACAGAAAAACACAACTTCCGCACATACATGCAATGATGCTTATGTCAGAGCCCAGTAAATAAGTAGTTTTTTTGATGGTAGTGTCATTCCTGTCGATGTTACAACAAAGCGTCTACTATGCAAAAATTACGGCAATTTTTAATGTAAAACTAACGATAATTCTATGAAATTTTACCAACACGTAATTTTTCACGGCAGTGAATGAATTTAGTATACGGCACTAGCTTAAATTTTACGATAAGTTTAAAGGACTGTGTAAAATTTATCTTGAATCCACAGTATTTTGACAGTGTAATGACGGTAAAATTTTTTCTAAGAAGACTATATAGTTACAAGGATTATGGAACTTGAAGGGAAAGCAAAGAAGACGTTTGCTACAGTTGTTCGATCCACACATTGCATTTACGTAGACACTCTTATCACTTTACTTGCAATATGGTGGAAATGATCTTTGATTCAGAGTACAACAATATTTTCACATATATAACAATAATACTGTATACCAGCTTAAAAGTGGATGACTTTTCATCTTAGTTTACCAATAGCAGGGCTTGATTTAATAAAAAGTGTTTCAATTGCTTTAACGTGCGATACACAACTTAGCTGTTTTTGCTAGTCCTTTCGGCTTTAATCTCAAATTTGCTATCTACTAATATAATAAAAAGGTTACTGTCTCTTTCGATCATCAATCTATATCCTATATCAATCAACGCATCTAGACGGGTATCATTTTTACCGCTAATCTTTTAAATTCACTTAAAGAATCGGAACGCATAATCTTACATAAAAGCATAGGCTTAATGTAAGTAACAACTAATCAACGATTCCTACCGTAATTTTTTACTAAAATATCCGACATGACTTCGTAGCTTTTATCAGAAATAGCTTAACTTATCACTAAGCTAGCAGCTTCTTTAGTTAAGTGCAAAGATAATGAAATTAAATGAAAGCAGTTGATCCGTTACGTCAATGTATGAGCAAACGAAAAAGATCCTTAAACGACTCCCATTCTTACACTTCTCCGGAAAAGGTTGGAAGATTGACTATTAGAAGTTGTGCAACAGAAAGATCACTGACAGTCTGATTTAACGAGTGATTGTGATTGATTAGGGATTCATCTAACATGGAAGTCAAAAATATCAAAAAATTCACGTTGTGCAAAAAAATAATCATCGCAAATTTTTCCAAAAACGCCGTCAGCAAAATATTCAGCCTTTAGGTCATAGTTGCGGTGTTTCAATATAATTTCATGATTATTTTATAATTTTACAAGCATGCGTATCGTTCTTTTAGACGTTTCAAATGTAACTTAGCTTGTCATTTAGTTATCTTATTTTTACTTAATTTTTAAAAATTTGAGAGCACGTCCACGATCAAAAGATATTACGAGTTTTTACTTTTATAATAGAAATTCATTTTTTTATTTTTAGAACCGAAATTAACTCTTTTAGCAAGATTTTTATTATGTTTTACGGCTATTTACTACAGCTATTTATAGATTCCCAACTTAAATATGTTATATGATTTTAAGCTCAGCTTTGTTTCACAAAAGTAACAATGAAATCGACCTGTATTCAATAGCACGTATTTTTTCACTTTAAATCTAAACAAACCCTTCTTTGATCAATAAAAATAAACTGCTTATAGTAAATTCAAAGTTTTCAAGTATAATGTAAAATAATACAATATACTTAAGATCTTAAACTAACAGCTGCCATGAGCGAACATTTTCTAATTAATTTAAATTTTTTATAACTTTAGCTTATGGACTAGAATATCATTAAAATAAACAAAATTTTTGTTTCATCATGATAGAGAAACCAAACGGTTTCCACTATTATTTTTTATTAATTCTGATGTTTTAAACAATAAAGTTAGTAAGAAGCAAAATAAATTTTTCAGTATACAAAGTAACGTTAATAGAAATAAAATAACATTTTAGTAATGAACATGAGTCAAGTTCGTGGATATATCAATAAACAAATACTTATTGCTTAGCCGATTTTTCGGTGTATTCTGGTACGAAAAACTTTTTGTTTAACTAGATAAAAATTTTACAAAGAACAAAATTTTCTTGTCTTTAGATGTGCTGTAAATTTTATAACTTATTGAGTGAACTACATATTTTTGTTAAAAAAGCCTCTCAATGGGGGAAGAGAGTCATTGATTTAGAATAATGATGAAATACTTTACTTTGATTTTAATTGTATTGTTTCAAGTAATCAAAGTACAAAGTAAATAAATTTTTTTGATTTTTCAAATAAACTTTTTTTTTAACAGCAACCTGGAAATTAACAAATTTCTTTCTTTTATAAGTAATCAAAGACGAATTTTATGATTAAGGAAATAACTTATTTTGTAATTAAGTAAATAATCATTCCAATTTTGTTTTTTTCTTGAAACCTTTTAACTCTATCAATTTCAATTTTCCCTGACTTACTGTCTGTAGTTTATTTAAAATTGAAAGGCACTTACTAACGCTTGTCATTTCTATTAGGTGGTCACGCACTGACCTTCGACTATTCACTTCGGTCAAACGCTGGCCCTTTTCTTGATTTCGTCACAGGCTGAGGATAGCTGCGCTCCAGATACTTCCATGATCACAACTTCCGGTGTACAGTCAAGTCCTGACAGTCAAAACGGAAAAAAATGTGTATTTCGTCATACACGGCGAACAGCTACGCACTAGCTAACTCTGCATGCACGACTTCTCAAGTATACAATTAAGCACCAACTGCATAGTCGTGCCTTGGGCAGCAGGCATCCTACCAAGATGTTGCTGACTCGAGCACTTGGCAACAACTATCTATACAGAACATTCGTTCTTATTAAATACCTACGTTTACTAACCTATTCAACACGAAAAAAATAGAAACAAAATGCTCTCACTTTCCAAGTTCCTTCCTAAAATCAAGTAATATTTTTTTAACCCTCTTGGCTTCCACTCATTTTTATTATACCCGTTGGTTAACCTGAACCACCCTCAAAATTGTTTAAAACTCTTTAAATTGCATATAATTTTTAACTCATCTCCTAAGCCTAATATTTTTTGACACCCACTTGGCCCTTCATCATTCACTTTTAATATAAAGTAAAACTACTACAGTTTGATAGTTATTTTATTTAAATACGATTTCTATTTTATCCCTTAAGCCCTACAACTCCTTTTGAACTTCTACTTTAATGAGCATATGATGAAATTCTCACAATTTTTTGCTTTTAATACTTTATAACCTTTTTGTAATATCAGAACAAAATTATATTTTCCCATGTATTACATCCCAAGTTGATACAAATTATATTATAACTAAAAGCTATCCGTCCATCAAATTCAAATAAGACGTTTTGTAAATATCAAGCAAGCTCATATGACAAGAGGATTTTATACGTCATTTACATGCGTGTGTGTAATAGCTTTAAGGTGAATGTTCAAAAATATGCTGACATATACAGCCAGCTTCTTTGTAAGAATGCATGTATGTATGAATAAGTCAATAGTATTGAATGTATGAATGAATAGTTACTTGCTCATTCATTGTTTAATTCTGATAATGTATACTAATTTAAAATTTGTAATTCACACATTACTTCATTATATTCGAAACTGATTGTTAAATTCCCCAGAAGGATTAATTTCAAAATGTGTAAACTTACTGTCACAATTGAACTTGCATTTGGCGTTCTTATATATTGCTGATACGAGCTTCCATCATCACTGACCCAAAAAAAAACTCAATCGCACTTGTCAGAAAATTGCGATTGGTACTATTGTATTGTTATTTCCCAATATGTAAAATCATAACATGTAACATCAT